CACCACCTGGGTCCACTTGATGAGTGGAAGTGGAGGAGGTGCAGCAATGAAGAGACAGGCTGAGTTTGGACATGTTCAATTGGCACCTGCTGACCTAGCCTACAGGGCCTAGGGACGAGAGAGGAAAGGCTGTGTGGTCTGAAATTAAGGAGTGTGTGAACTCCCAAGCTTACAGATGGTACTCATTGACTAGCGTGGATAGCTAGGGATGAGTTGACTAGAACCTGGCCAAATGAAGAGAAAGATGTTTGAGACTGAGCTGGTGTAGATTGCTGCAATTTGATGGCTTATTCTGGACTGGAGTTTGCTTATGGATACAAATGCTCAAAGTTTCAACCACAACAGAAGATTCTTCAGATTAAGGAATATGTTTATCTCCTCAGAGTACTGGTTTGATTGGGATGGGCAATTTAGAAATTGACTATCTAAAGTGAAGGGAGATAAAGGTATGAAGTGGCTGGCCTACACACTTTAATGGGTGTGCTTATACTTAAAATGATTGGAAAAGGGAAGTTAATCTTTCAAGTATGAAAGGGCTAATGGCTTTAAGAGCCAGGAGGTGGCATGTGGTGAAGTGAATTACTTAATGTAGCCTTCCAACCATAGTCTTTGTGACTCCCACCAGATGACTGGGTGGAACTATGCAAATGTGAGGTTTTTGTGGCCAACCAAGGGGATAGGATAGCTTGCTAATAATGTAAATAAGGTACACAGAACATTTGTGGGGGTTGTTGTTGTTGTTGTTGTTATGTGCCGTCGAGTCGGACCCGACTCATAGCGACCCTTCCTTGGGTTTCTGAGGCAGTATCACTTCGGAAGTAGATTGCTCCATCTTCCTTCTGAGGAGTGGCTGGTGGGTTTGAACCGCCAGCTTTCTGGTCAGCAGTCAAGTGCTTTAGGCACTACACTACCAGAGCTCCTTTTGTGGACCATGCAAATAAAGGTGTATGGAACACTAACATGGGGATTATTCAGTTTTGCCATCCACTAGGTTTGAAATGAGCGATCCCAGAGGCAGAAAGGGGAGAAATCTCACTCTCCTCAAGAAAGAAGAGCCAGGATATACTTCTGGCAAGATGGTGGAGTAGGCAGAAAAGCTACACAGACCCTCTGCAACAAAGAAATGAGAAACCAATTAAAACAGATACAGATGATAATTCTGGAACACTGAATTTGAACAAAAGGATAAAGAAGTAGATTAAATACAAACTAGTAGAAGAACATGAATGAAAACAGTGAATAAGGAGACAAATGCAGCTGCAGCCTGGTGGCTGTCCTGATGGCATGGCCAACTTGAATATTTATAAGTGGTGCTCCAATCCAGGGAGCAACCTAAGAATCAGCTCTTCTTGCCAAGGAAGAAGTGGGGAATCACATAGGTGGTTAGAGAGGAAAACAGTGAATAAGGAAACAAACAGAGCTGTGGACTGCCAGATGTCCTGAGGGCGCAGCCATTTTGAATATTTGCAAGCAGTGTGGCCATTTTGAATAATGGCAAGCAGTGTTATGATCTGGGCAGCAACACAAGAATAAGCTCTGCTTGCTGAGGACAGCACGGGCAACCACACTGGAGGCTGACTACTAGAAAGGTGCAATATTCCTCTTGTTATTCTTGAACCTCATACCCTCTTGGTGAAGGGAGGTGTGACCATCTCCTACCTCCACCCTTCTTCTGGACCAGTAGGAAGGCCATGTCCATCTGTGTGCCCTAACAATGCCTGAGTGCCCAGCTCACTCCAGCTTTTTTTTTTTTTAAATGTTGTTTGTTTTAAAATTATTACTAGTATTCCTTTTTTTTTCTTTTATTTTTTCTTTCTCTTCCCTGGTTCTTGTTTATTTTATTATATTATTTCTCTTTTCCCTTGTTC